TCATGAATCTGGTCCAACTCCGCAGGTAACTCCAAACGATACGCTACCTTGCCCACCCTCGCGATCACTCTGAATGGCCCAATATACCAGGGCCCCAACTTGCCTCTCTTCCTGAATCGGACCACTCCTTTCCAAGGAGATACCTTCAGGAGCACGAAGTCACCAACCTGAAACTCGAGCTCAGATTGGTGCCTATCAGCATAACTCTTCTGGCGACTCTGAGCGGTTAGCAACCTCTGTCGGACCTGCTGAATCTGCTCAGTCGTCTGAAGCACGATCTCTGTACTTCCCATCACATGCTACCCTACTTCACCCCAACAAATAGGGGTCCGACACCTCCTCCCATACAACAGCTCAAAGGGTGGCATACTAATGCTCCAACTGCTAGAAATTTATCCGTTGAAATTTAAATTAACATATTAGTTAGAATTTTTTTTACTTTGTTTTTTACTTTAAAATTATACCTCTAAATATTTAAAAAAACTAACATTTATAGTTCAAATATATAATTTGGGGGCAATTGTTATGGATATGATTCCAAAATCATATTCAGGATTCTTAATATCTTTGAAATCTTAGGATCCTTAAATATCACAAGATCCTGATTATCATTACTAATATTTCCTAACACTTATAACGGTTATATTTTCTCTATTTTTCTCACATATGCAGAATTAGTAAACACAATACCCATTATCAACAGAGAGAAACTTCAACCGAGCTCAAGACCTGGGAATACCAAGTCACGTAACGTGCAAATATTTGTTCAAGGAAGATCTCAGAAATATCAGATTTCTTGTTAATTAACTTAGAATAACACATGTAAATCGTACACTACACAATTAGCTCTATCGTTACACTTTTACTCATTTTATCTTCATTATCTTTGTAATCTTAGATTGAAATCAATAAAACACAACAAGACATGTGATCATTGTAATCTTCCAGTGTTTTATGCCGGATATCCTATAAAGGATCAAATGTTTTCCTTGTAACTCACTTATCTCATTTTGATTAATATTCGTTACTTGCATTATCTTAAACATCACGAACTCTTATATAATATAATTAAATTATAATTAAATTATTCTTTATACAATTTAATTAAATTATGCTTTATCGATTTTTGTCGGAAACAAATATAAAAATCACATCACTAAGTTGGATGAATCTAAAACATAGATAAAAGTATTTTTAAGAAAGGGATAATGACTTGAAAGGGTAACGAACTTTCGATTTTTTTCACATTTAATCACTAAACTTTTTTTTGTTATCTATTTGTCATTGGACTATTGAAACTGTTCACATTTTACCCTTATGACCGGCTGTTACCGGTCATAAGGGTAAAATGTAAACAGTTGCAATAGTTTAGTGGCAAATAGATAACGAAAAAAAGTTTAGTGACTAAATATGAACAAAATCGAAAGTTTGTTTCACTCTAAAAAGTTCAATGACTAAATGTGAACAAACTTCCTCTTGTATTATGTTTTAGCAAATTATTTATTTTTGTTAAATTGTAGCAACATTTGTTGATGAAGAAATCTATGATATATATATATATATATATATATATATATATATATATATATATATATAAACCCTGAAAATATATTTTAAAAAAAAAAAAAAAAACCCGAAAGTAACTATATATACCATAAATACTTCATATATATGTGTAAGATGAAAGTAATTATATATACCATAAAAATCCCATAAATGCTTTCTAACTTCAAACCCCAAGGTTTACTCTACTAAAGCTTCATATTCTTGGCTCTTTGGACCTAGAAAGGGTCCATATTCCTAACTTCAAACCCCAAGGGTTACTCTACTAAAGCTTTATATTCTCGACTCTCTGGACCTAGAAGGGTCTAGATCTATAACACAAACTTGCAAGAGGGGTTTGAGGCATTCAAAACCCCAAATATGAAGTGATTCAAGCCCTAACCCCAAAATGGAATCTACACAATAGGGAAGGAAAAGGGTTCATTTTTGTACCTCAAAATGCAGCTCCTTGCTTGAATAACTCAGAACAATAACCTTCCTTGGTCCCTCTTGCTAGAACTCTTCTCCTTTCTTGCAAAATCACACCAAAAAGCTCAAGATAGCTCTTCCTCTCACTCTACACACTCAAGCTCGCTAGGGTTCTCACTTATGATAAAACCATACGTGATGTATTCCATCATAATAGAAAACACTGTGCGGAAACTGTATCATACTACGTCAAATCAAAATAAACTAAATCAATCCCAGGCTAAAAGCTAAAGCTGTGGCGTGTGCGATGCCGTCACCCCGAGCTCTTCCCTTTGCTTGCGGAAGTACCTGAAACCAAAACTGAAACTGTAAGCACGAAGCTTAGTGAGCTCCCCCAAACTACCACATACCATACAATAACATATAAACACATATTGGGCCTTGCCCACTGCATCGGGCCGAAGCCCGGAAACTGCATCGGACCGGAGTCCGGAACTGACTGGGACCTTGTCCCCTGCATCGGACCGAAGTCCGGAACTAAGTGCATCGGACCGAAGTCCGGAACTGACTGGGACCTTGTCCCCTGCATCAGACCGAAGTCCGGAACTAACTGCATCGGACCGAAGTCCGGAACTGACTGGGACCTTGTCCCCTGCATCGGACCGAAGTCCGGAACTAACTGCATCGGACCGAAGTCCGGAACTGACTGGGACCTTGTCCCCTGCATCGGACCGAAGTTCGAAACTAACTGCATCGGACCGAAGTTCGGAACTGACTGACTGAACATGGCATAGCATAACACATCAACTAGCGTAACACATATACGACATGCTACATCGGGCCGTGGCCTGGAACACATAATACTTAACACATAAAACATAGCACACGAATCCTGTTCGAGTCACGAAGGCATCGAACATACTAATTACTGCATTGGACCTAAATCCGGAAACTACTGCTAACTGAACAGGCCGGTATTGTGGCCTTAGACCCGTTCCTACTGGAAGGAAACTCACCTCGTAAGCTGGCTGCTGAGTGTGTGGCTCGGAAAGCTAACGGCGGCTGCTCCTGAATCTCCTCGGCTACAAGTCCATAAACACACTCAATCAAATACTAAACACTGCGCTTAGGGTAAAATGACTCTTTTACCCTCAGTCAAAGTCACTTATCTTTTGGGCTGACTCGCCGAGTTGGGCCACCCAACTCGCCGAGTCCTACTTCTCACTTTTCACTCTTACTCGCTGCTACTCGCCGAGTCTGACATCGACTCGACGAGTACCCTCTTGATCCAAGAACTCAGCCAATCTTCATCCGACTCGCCGAGTCGTATGAACAGACTCGACGAGTTGTTCTTGATCCCAAAAAGATTGCCTTGGACTAGCCGAGTTGATGAACAACTCGCCGAGTCCCCCCCCCCCCCCCATCACTGAGTTTGCCCTCAACTCGCTGAGTCCACTCCCTAACTCACCCCGTCCACTCGACACTGATAAAACTGAAGAACTCGGGACTCGCGACCCAACTCGTCGAGTCATTCTTCCGACTCGCCGAGTTGCCGCCATGCAACTGATTTTTACTTGATTTTGTTTGAATCCAATGCATACAATTGATAGATATGAGTCCAATAAGCTGATTTACCACGTAAAGTTTCCAACTTTACGTGTACAACCTCATGAATAAGGGAAATAAGGCTAAAGGATGCATAAAATGGGTAGATCTATGGTTATCATGCAATATAACTCCAAAAAGACAGTAGATCTGGGCTCTACAACACCCCAACATTCAGATCCATAGATATTTCGACTCAATAAGACGTTCATGCAAGTGTAAGGCTTGGAACAAGCATCAACTAGCTCTTAGGAGAGCTCTAATGGAAGTTTAAAGCATATAACAAGATGGAACTCCGAAAATACCTCAATTAACTCTGATTTGGCCTTGGATCTTTGCACTACAACACTTCTCCTTGCTTCTTCCTTCTTCTCCTTCTTCACACCTTCACAAAAAGGCACCAAAACACAAATAAGCTCTTCAAGGGAGGATTAGGGTTCTATCACTGCGTTCTCAGGGTGAGGGAGGCGAGAATGGGGGCTATAAGGTGGTTTAAATAGTGGGCAACCCGGGGAATTTAGGGTTTCACCCAGACAGATGGACTCGCCGAGTCAGGGATATGGACTCGCCGAGTCCCCGGCTCACGCGTGCCCTCAGGCGCGACCCTACTCGGCGAGTCAGGCTAGAACTCGCCGAGTCCCTCTTGAAAAACTCACTATAATTACCAATAAATCAACATACCGGGAACGGGTCGTTACAGTAGTCGCAATTGAAGGCCATAAGTGTCTTTAAATATGGCTCAGGCCCAAAGATTTAGGGTTTCTGCCAACAGCGCGGACTCGTTGAGTCGCCTCACCGGCTCGTCGAGTACATTCATTAATCCGAGTCATCAGTCGCGACCTTACTCGATGAGTTAAGGCGTCAACTCGTCGAGTCTCTCTTTATAACTCAAAAGAAAAATGCTTAAATTATGATACCTGGAAATCCGGATGTTAAATTTTGTTTTTTTATTTCATAGATTTCTTCATCAACGAATGTTGCTACAATTAAACAAAAATAAATAATTTGCTAAAACATAATACAATAGGAAGTTTGTTCACATTTAGCCATTGAATTTTTTAGAGGGAAACGAACTTTCGATTTTATTCACATTTAGTCACTAAACTTTTTTTCGTTATTTATTTGTCACTAAACTATTGAAACTGTTCACATTTTACCCTTATGACCGGTAACAGCCGATCATAAGGGTAAAATGTGAACAGTTTCAATAGTTAAATGACAAATAGATAAAAAAAAAAAAAAATTTAGTAACTAAATATAAACAAAATCAAAAATTGATTACCTTTGAGTCATTATCCCTTTAAGAAAATAGTAAAAATGGGCATATCACTGTCATACCATTTTGGAACATGCGGGTGAGACCCACTTGCCGTTTTTTAACCAAGTATGACGTCGTTGAAACGTGCATACATTTTAAACCTCTCCCTATCTGTATACAGTTTCGTAACCACCCATGATGTATCGAAAATATTACGACTTTTAGAGCACAACGTACAACTCCGATACACACATAAAAACCCTCCCCTGAAAATCCCCCAAAAGCTCACTGTTATCCGGGGGAGTGAGGGATTCGTGAATGGACAAGTACAAGTGGAGTGCCCACGAGCTCTGATTCATTTCCACCATCTGTTCTTTCGCTTTCTCTCTTGCTGTCATCTGCTTTGGCTGGATCCTGGCCGGATTCCATGGCTTCAATCATCGAATCTGGTTGGACGGTAACGTCATCTCCTCTTTTCCGACTGTATTGATATTATACTACGCGTTTTGCTTCTTCCGTTGCCTTAGATTTGGTCTCATTGATGGATAGTTTGTTTGTACCGATTTTTGGATGTATGTGCCAGTGTTATCGGCTCTGTATTCATAAATCTGCGTCGCATTGATCTATAAGTAAGAATTTGTGCTATCGAATATGTGTTGATTGAAGAATAACTAAACTTTAATGCTGACATGAATAGTTATTTGTATTGGAGGAGATTTTAGTATGATTCGCAAGTCGGAACTCGGGTAATTGCGTTTAATGTAGTACTCTCATACTTTAGCACATGCATGAGATTATACATGTTCAGGATTGGATGTAAGGAAGGCATCACCGAACTTTGAAGTGAAAGGATCAGGGGTGTCAAGAGATCTAGTTAATTGGTATTTGGTAATTTGGTGTCAAATTTCTTATTGACCTCTAAGTTTTGATTTCAAGTTTAAATGATTTTACTGTTCTTGTAATCTTGTCAATTTGCTGCTTGCAATCTATGTTTTGATTATATTAGTAAATGATTCTCCTATTTCCTTTGTTTGAACAATTTTTGGGCCACATTAACACGAGCAGCTTGTGATTTATGTGATGAATTAGTGAAGTTCTGGATGCTTACTTTTTGCCTAGAAACTTATGGCTGTACAGAATACAAAAGGGGCTTAAAACAGGGGGGAAATGCCCCCTTCTTTTCTAATTTATTCTACAAGTGGAAGTATGAAAATCAAATTGGGTACATTTCAGCCTAAAGGCTTATGATTCTGTAGTTTTTTAGCAGATGATAAATGGATAACCCACTCTGTTTCTTTTGTATCCTCACCCTTTTAGAACTGATGAACTTCGGTCCTTCCTTTCATGCTTTACTTTTCATCTCCTTTTCCTCAAGTCCAATGATCACTTTTGAATTTGTTGTCCAAGTAATTACATTTTCAGGAGCATAAGCCTAAGAATGTTTCCACTACTTATTTTTTCTTGAAAACTCAACACTTATCTAATAAAACCTTTTAATATCCTTTGAACAAACCTGTCACACAAGAACATTTTAAAGAAAACTAGGTTGGTTCTTTTATTTGTTTATCACATCTTATGTAGACATAAAACATTCTTGTATTACAACTTATTTCCTGTGGTTTAACACCAAGATACAGAGGCTGATTACTGATTACTGATTACTGACCCTTTTTTTTTTTTTTTTTTTCTTTTTCTAATTGCAGTATCTGATCACAAATTTCAGTGACTTTCAGCTGGCTTGCCTTGGAAGTTTTTTGCTTCATGAATCTGTTTTCTTCTTATCTGGACTTCCTTTCATTTACTTAGAAAGGGCAGGATGGCTCAACAAGTACAAAATTCAGGTTTAACTATCTCACATTCTCATGCCTTTGAAAACCTGTTTTTTTAATGTCATTAATTTTGTTACATTTTTATATCCAGATGAAGAATAACACCAATGAAGCTCAAAATAAATGCATCACTCGCTTACTATTGTATCATTTTTGTGTCAATCTCCCTGTTATGATTGCTTCATATCCTGTCTTCAGATTCATGGGAATGCGAAGCAGTCTTCCATTGCCATCCTGGTATTTCCAAGTCAAAACATAAAATATATATATTTTTTCTCATTAATTTTCTCAATTGTAATCCGTTTTCACTTTGTAGGAAAGTAATGTCTACACAGATAATATTCTACTTCATAGTAGAAGACTTTATATTTTACTGGGGACACAGAATTTTACATACCAAATGGCTGTATAAGCATGTCCACAGTGTCCATCATGAGTAAGAGGCTGTTTCTTTTTTACTTAATGAGCTCAATGTTTTTCATTTTTTCATTTATTTAATTCATTTATACAACAGGTATGCAACGCCTTTTGGATTGACTTCAGAATATGCACACCCTGCTGAAATATTATTCCTTGGTTTTGCTACTATTTTCGGTCCTGCCATCACGGGCCCACATCTCATAACACTTTGGTTGTGGATGGTGGTGAGAGTTCTTGAGACAGTTGAGGCACATTGTGGTTATCATTTCCCGTGGAGCCCCTCAAACTTTCTTCCTTTATACGGGGGGTTAGTTTTACTCTATAAATAATATATATTTTTTATAATATTTGCTAACATTATTATTGCTATAACAAATTTCCCTTTTATAAAAAAAAAAAAAAATTCAGTTCCGACTTTCACGACTATCATCACCGACTTATCTACACCAAATCAGGGAACTACTCGTCAACTTTTGTCTACATGGACTGGTAAGACTTTAGTTTTAATTTTTTTTATCTGTATTATGTCATGTCAAACGCAGTACAGTCTGTTATGTTGTGTACAAGATTGTGATGTGACAAATGACATCTTTTCATATCAGGTTATTTGGCACGGACAGTGGGTACAGAAAGCTGAAGGCATTGAAGAGTGAAGAGGAAGCCATGTTTAAAGAGAATTGACTAAGGGGAGAAAAGGTTCCTTTTTTTTTTTTTTCTTGAATGTGATTTGTTTCTAGACTTTTAACTTTGTTGATTTGAAAATCCTTTTCAGAACCAAAAAGAAACTTGTTGAATAACAAGTATTGTTTTTTTCTCCTTTAAACGTGTGCATGAAAAATGGTCGATGAATTGTAATTTATCTTTTGAGTGAATTACATTATTGGTCCCTGAGCATAGCTAATTTTTGCAATTTTGGTCCAAAAGATATATTAATTGTAGTTGGAACAGAGACAGCAAGAGAAAACTTTTTAGGACCAAAATTGAAAAAAATTTGCTGCACAGGGACCAGAAATGTAACTTATTCTATATTTTGTATTTTGGTAATGAATTATTTTCGTACAATATACCAACATATTTCAATTTTTGTTTATTTGAGACTTAATGGTTCTTTTGTATTTCGTAGTTGATACTTGCTGCGACTTTGCCTGGCGACAAAATGAAAAAGAAACAATAAAAAAAAGAATGCGTTGTTTTTTGATTGAAAATATATTATTAAAAATTGGCTTAAAGTATATTGTCATTATGACTGTTTGACCATATACATTCTGGTTCCACTTTTGTACCATAAAGAAAACCTTTGGTCGCTGATGGCTTTAGAACATTTTATCGTGATTTCTAAGAAACGTTATTCATTATTTTACATATATACTTTTTTACAGAAAAAAATATATTTAATATATAAAAAATATTATGAAACCATTATTAACAAATAAATTTAAAATTATTGCAAATAATTATTTTATCTATAAAAACATTTTTTGAATGACTTAAAAGAATATAAAATCTACTGAATGCTATTATAGAGTGCTTTTCTCATTCTCTTTTATTTTTTGGTATTTTACTAGTGAACACCATTTCATGAGGTTAGTGGACTGGATTGTTGAATAGTTTGTTGATGAGGTGACCATCATTCACGCGCAACGATACCAGAAAGCCTTATTGATTTAAGAAATCTGTTAGTTTCTACTTTTACATGTTGCTTAAGTTCGTACTAAGAACATCTGGATAATTTTTTTTTTTAAATTTTTTATTTACTAATCTGGTCCTGTGGTTTCTTAGAATTTAAAATTTCATAATTTACCTTTTTTCGGTCTCAACGAAGGTCCCTATGATTTCAATTTCATGCATGGTTGGTACCTTATAAAAACACTTATTTACCTTGTTATAGTTTCTTTTATTTTTTTTTTTCTTTTTGGTTAATTAGAATTTATATTAATTATTATATAATTATTTAAATAGAAAATGTTTGTCACTATTATCACCACCATTCACCACTACTGCTCAACACTACAACCACTCGCACATAAACCCTAACCACCCTACCCTTTGCATCTCCTTTTCATGAGCCTCTCCACCACAACTTGCCACCATTGGTCCACTGCCACCAAGAAAATGAAATCAATACCAAACTCAATCCATTTTCACACCTACACATGAACTTATGAACAAGATGAAACACAAATAAGACCCACATCTGTAATGAATAAACCAAAAGATGTAAAACACTACACCTTCATAAAGCTTCCCCTTGTTCTAGAATTTTGAGAGGTGGTGGTATGGAGGTTCATTGCGATCCAAAAATAGAGACAAGAGAATTAGTGGATAGTGGATGATAAGGGTGATGATGTAGGGGACCATAGATGGTGGTGTTGTAGTGGATTTGTTGCATATGAACGAATCGACCATCGTCAGAAGGGAAGAAGGGAAAACAATGGTGGGGTTATTGGAGATGAAGGGATCGAAGCGATTTCAACTCTCCAATTCGGGCATCTCATCAATTCCTCCCAAACAATTGAACAACACGATATGATGAATATGAAGATAATCAAAATCGATTCATCCGAATACATTTTAGATTTGTCACCATCTTTGTTCATTCCCTAATTTTCGATGATGTTCTTTAGTCTAACCCAAAAATGAAACGAAAAACGAATTCATTTCTTCCTTATTGTCCTTAATGTTTGTCTCTTTCCCTTGGTTGAGTTGGTTGCCATCATCTTGATCCTATCACTGAATAGGTGAGATAATAAACCCTAGAATGGGAACTATGGTGTACTCTAGTTTTACAGATGGAGATGAAGATGAAGAGAAGTTTGAATGGAGATGAAGATGAACAAATGTTTGGACTGTGAAGCAATTATGTCTTGAAAACGGGATGGTGGTTCGATGATGAGAGAGGTTTGTTGGAGATGAGGAAGGAAGAAAGTGTTGGCGTAGCCTTCTTTCCGGTAAGTATTTGATTAGGGTGTTAGTGGGGTAGGGGTTGAGGATCGAGATGGTTGTGGGGGTGTTTTTTTTAATGTTAATATTAGCTAAAAGAAAATATAAAAAAAATAAAAGGATATAAAAGTCTTTTTATTTGGCTAAGGGACCAACAATGCACAAAAGTAAAACCACATGGACTCCTCATGAAATCGAAAAAAGTTAGAGATGAAACTTGATATTTAGACAAACTACATGGACCATTTATGAAAATTAGTATTTTTTTTTGCTGTATTTTTTTTTTTATTATCCTTATATTATTTTTCTATTATCCTTTCTTAGAAGGCACGGAATGCAATAAAAAAACTAACGATGTAAGAACTAAAAGTTACAAGAAACATTTAAACAAAAGTGAGTAACATCATTTGAGGCCAATCTAAAACATTGAAATTAGACATATATTTGATCCGATTAAAAACCAAATATTGAATATTATATGCCATCAAGTATATAAAGTATATAAGGGCACGTCTCAAAAACAACACCTTGTTTGACACAAAAACTTTAGCTTTAAAAACCATAAATAAATCACATTTCAATAACAAAGACACACTTTGCAACCCTCTGCAGTAGAAGAAGTGGACCAAACGGCTGCAGACTATAATAAGAAGCGTGTTTGTTTTTTTTAACATTTGCATACTGCTGCAGATATTAAAAATTTAAAATAAACTAATTTTATAAACCGAAAATAGCTTTTTAATACGTAAAATTTAATAATGTATAACATTTCAGTAAAAATTAATGATATTTCAGTAAAAAAGAATGATATTTCAACAAAAAATAAAGATATTTTTAGTAAAAAATAATGATATTTCATCAAGAAATTATCATTATTGAATATAAAAAATAAAAAATAAATTCAATAAGAATAAACGAAAAAAAAATGTAAAATAAAATTTTAATAACATATAATCAAAATTTCAGCAATAAAAAAAGAAGAAGAAGAGGTTGGAAGAGGTTAAAAGAGGCAGTACAAGTGCTGCGCCAAACAGAGCCTGCGCAGAAGTTTTTGACTCAAAAGACTTCTAAAAAACAAACAGCTGCGAGATGAAAAGTGTTGCGCAAGTGCTGCGCCGCGCAGCAGTAAAAGGTTTGAAGAGGTTTTTTTCTAAAAACAAACAGCACCTAAACCAATTCCATATCATCAAAGCATAATCACAACCAAAGTATAGATGATCCACTGATTCATTTTCCAAGGTGTAGAATTGACACCTAGATGAAATAATCGAGACACCTCTATGAATCAAATTCACGACGATTTGAAAAATTAATTTGACAATAGTTTTCTTCGACTATTAATATTTAAAAAAAAAGTTAATTAATCATCCTTTTTCTCTTAGATGTTTGTAGGTTATTTTCCTTTACTAACATTTGTTATATATATATATATATATATATATATATATATATATATATATATATATATATATATATATATATATATATATATATATATATATATATATATATATATATATATATATATATATATATATATATATATATATATATATATTTCAAAACTTTATAAATAATAAAATTTAACATATGTGGTTAAAAAATAAAAAATAATAATAAAACTTTTTAAGTAACCTTTAAAATAAGTTTTCTTCTCCAATAATAAAAAAGTTTTTTCAAAAATCCTTTTTAAATAATAAAAAGCTTTACAAAAAACAATCATTGGATATATTAAGTTTTGATAGTTTGGTTACCTAGTTAGGCAATCAGTTATACATATTAGATCAGATAAAAAATTATTGTCATCTTAGTTTCAAATCATCACAATTTTTCACCACTTAAAAAAACTTACCACTTCACATCACCACACGAATATGCATGTTGTCTTGTACATTAAAAAGCTGAAGAAGGGTTCTTGCATGCCATGACGTTGCACAAACTACATCATGTCATGCCATACTATGATGGTATGCACAATCTGAGTTTTTGACCACATAAAAGCCACACCATAAACATGACATGCATACTCTTTTATCCTTAATAATGAATCCAAATACAAAACCGACATGTCTGTCGATTATAATTACTAGCATATATTAATCAAACGAATTTTAAAAAATAATTGCAAATTTTAATCTAAATTACATATAACATCATAAGAACATAATTTATATAGGAGTGCTTCAAATCGTTGAACTTGATTTGTCCCACTTACCACACATCACTTCTAAAAACTAAGTAATAGTGTTTTGTATTAAAAAAAGAAAATGTCGTTTTGATAACAATTTAGGAAATTAAATCTCTTACGCATTGAGTTCATAGTGTGTTTGTAGCGATGTTCAATCTGATACGAACGTATGTATGCATAATGATTTGTGAATGGTCCAACTAAATCAAAATCTGATATGAACAAACCAAATTACAATTTATATGGATCAATTTTTATAGTTCATTTTTTAAAGTGCCAGTAACATTTCAACATATATCTACATACAAATTTTTTACATATTTACATACCAAAAGGTTTTTGACCTGAGAGTATTAGATGTTAGAAATATACCTACCAAAAAAGTTAGAGGCTTCAAGTCTCCAATGATGGATAAATAGGTAGTTTAGTAGAATGTAAAGTATATGTGTAAGTTGGCCCGTTGCAACTGTCATAATAAAGAAGACATTAAAAAAATATAACTATTATATCTAGTCTAGGCAAGAACATAACATTTGCAAATATTGGAGTATGGCTAGGCTAACCAGTAACCATGGTGAATTAACACCATTGATAAAAAAAATAAAAATACTAAACATCATTTCAACAATAGCAACACTTCGAATTCATATTAAATATTGGTATGAATGAATATATGATAATTAAATAAGGATTTGGTCACACTCAAATTTGATTAACTCATTAAAGATTTGGCCGATTGGTAAGAATTTTTTATATAATTTTGAAAATATAAATAAATTTTAGTAAAGAAAAAACGGTCGCTCCATTGGTAAATAAGTAAATGAAAACTTTTTCTAGTTAAACACTATTGTATATTGTTCAATAGTGTATAATTCAACATCGTAGAATAGCTTGTGCGTCTGCTATATACATGTATACTTTATCCACCGTAAAAAATGTCCGACAAATTCTATCCACATGCAGACTTTTGTACCATAGTTGTGCCGGTCTGTCACTCCTCCAACTGGCGGTGGAAATGCCAGACTGTACGAAGTTTGATGTGATACACAGTTATTGAATATATTGAACAATACACAAAAAATATAACCCAAACGTTACTTTTATTCATTAGATAATATGTTACATCATTGTTTGTAGTACAAGCACATGACACTTCCTAACACAGAATAATACTTCCAGTTGATCCTTTGATGAATTCTCCCTTCTCATAGCCACTTATGTTGCTCATTTTTCTGAGAATGCATGTGGTTTGAATATGTCAATATAATGTTGGTAAGTTCACATGTTTTTATACATTTGAACATAGTTTTGTATGCGTATATTAGAATAGTATTATCTCTATATTTAATATTCTTATTATTTTAATGTTATAACTTCTCTTTTGTATTCACCAATTTTGCATAAGATTTTCACTCCTTTTGCATACTTCTCTTATAAGATTTTCACCCATTTCGCATATTGATGTATACTTTACTACTTCAAGATGTCTCTTTCTAGGTAGTTTAATTAATGAAGGATACCTATGTAGGTATCTACCCTGATGATACCTGATGCAACCTTGTTGCCTAAGAAAAACATAATAGAACAAGAAGGAAAAATTGCATAGTAACGATGATGAAATAGAGGCGATAACAGGGAACTAAGAAAAAAATGGGAGAGCTTTCTAATTACTTGATGAACAAGAGTTTTTATTCTTGGAAAACTTAAACAAATAAACTTAAACATATACCCTTATTTATACTAAAACAGATAGTATCCTAAACTAACACAAAGGTAGTTGATAGAGTAAAGGGTCTTCAACTTCATTAAATAAACACAATGGTCTGATTTCATTCAAAGTTATTTGATAGAGTCGATTTTTAGATTGTTGTACTTTCACAAGTAGTCGATTCATTTTATCATGTATCCACAAGTATAATCCAAGCATTACGATCCGATCACCGTTTTGTGCGAGTTAACTTTGGTATGTAATATACTCCTTGAAGCATCTGTTGCTCATCATTCTTACACTGGAATATAATTAAACCTTTTCCCTCAACACATACCTTTAAGCCATCACCAAACTTCACATATCCTTTAACCGCTCGATTAAGCTCTGTAACACCCATAAAAATCAAACAAAATTTAAACTTCTTAAAACATGTAGAAACCAACAGTTATCACAAATTTGTTTTCAAAACAGCTCTATATCAGAGTCTCCCAGAAACATAGTCATAAAATGTAAGGAGTTGAACGATCACGCATTTGCCTTTCTGCGATCCTTTGAGGTACCTGAAACCTAAATTGAAACTGTAAGCCCAAAGCTTAGTGAGTTCTACCAAAATACCGATACACTGCAAATAACACATATGCAAATAACAACATGTATTGGGTCCACAACTTTACAAACTGGATTATCCCTGGGTCCACAGTGTGAGTCTAACTTGCCTTCCGGGCCCACAACTCACATCTGGATTGCCACCGAGCCCACAGTACA